TTTTTACTCATTAAGCCCTAAAAGAACTGCATTTCTGTCATTCTTTACAGCAGCAGAATTCGCTGGTGTGTCCACTATTTTAATCCACAAATTATCTTTTTATAGGAAATCTCAATCGAATAGAAAGCCGCTTTAAAACCGCACTTGATACTCGTATTTGAACCCAAATCATTAAGAAATTGTCACCTGTGACACACGTCTCTCATAATAAATTATATGAAAATGTTGTATGATGCTGGAAAAAACCCCATAAACTTGTCCTGCGTTTCCACACTTATCAAAACAATATAAATGACTCATAGGCCGGTAGGGGACTATTTTTTGTCTCCCTTTTTGTTTGTTTAGCCCATCAGATAAATGCATCTTGATTACATTTTGTGTAATGAAATCTAAGGATATTTTGCTGACTAAAAAATTTTACAGAAGCACGAAATTGGATGAAAATGAGGATAAAATTCTCCTGTAGCCAAAAGCCAGCCGGCAGGAGTCTCCACAAAGGAACCAAAGCTAAAATCCTAAACAAACAGAGCAAGAGAGCTTTAGAGTAAAAATCAAATAAAATTAAAGAGTCAAACGAAGCGCACAAGAGAAGGAGGAGGGATGTTGAAGCGTGTCTTTGTTGCCACACCAGCAAACATACACACAGATACACACCAACACACTGGACAGAGTAGAATCATTTTCATGGATTAGTGGAAAGGCAAAAAGCGAGCCAAGAGGAGAGACCAAAGCAGGCCACAGAGGACAGGAGTCACTAGCCCTGGACACAAGTGGCTCTGGGGGAGAGTTGGAGTACTGGAGACAGACAAAACTAGTCGCTGGCTGGATGAGTGGGCAGAGGGAGTGCCAGGGAAAGCCAACCCAACAAGCGGCTACAAAATTAATGATACTGTGGCAAGTCGAAATCCAGTCTAGCGAGAGACCAGTCCAAGTCCAGGCCATGGTCAAAACCATCTGGGTTGGCTTATTGGCTAATGCCGAACAAAAAAAAGAAGAAAACCCTGTAATGATGATGGTTGATGGTTAGCCAAGCCATTAGCCCCGCAGGAGCCAAGATTTCCAACAGCGGTTTCAGATTTCCTTCAGGCTCAAAAGGCGGAGGGAAAAATAGAGAGGTTTGCACAAAGGAAATTTATGAATGTTTTTTATGGCTTGACAGAGTCCGAAATACAGAGAAAATGCATGAGATCACGAACAACTAATAGTAATAGCTGCTGGAGCAAGCTAAGCAAGCACTTTCCATTGGAAAGAACGAGGAGCCCAAGAAAACGGAAACTGAATTATAGAATTGGTATTGCTAAATTTAAGCGACATTATTATAATGGTTACAATTCAATTTACACGCTTTGGAACTCTAAGGGTCGTTTTAAAATCAATTGATAATTCTTTAGACGGTGCAATGTTTAAATGGTTTAATGTCAATATTCTATCGAAGAGCACAAACAGATCAAAATGTTTTGAACATAAATTACTACAAACACTTTAATGAAAGTAACCTTCAACATATTTAAAACTCATGCTAATAACAATCTACCAGCCAAGCACTATTTACAGCAAGCTCTTCAACATTAATCACCCTTCCAAACACCTTCCTATTCCAAGGTTTCCACTGTATTTAAACTGCTTCTAATGATTTATGCCTCTTTCTTGCCAGAGGAAGGATCCTAAGTTTGCTGATCAGTTGGCAGATAGTATGCAGATATCCCAGAGGCTTTTGCAGTGGAGAAGTCAGTCTTTTCGACTCGTTACAGCACCACCTCCTTCTCCCCCTCCTGCTGCTCTGGGTACCAGGGGACAGGCACATAGCAACAGCGCGAGTTGCAGAAAAACTTCAGGACAGAGTCGTCGCTGAGGTGTGTGGATGTGTAATGTACTAGTGTGTATGTGTGTAGTGTCGGTCTGCACGGCGGCCGATAAGGCTAAGCAAATACGAGTTTTGTAAAGTATTTCAATTTGAACATTCGCTTTTTTTTTGTGCGCCCTGTACATGAAAAAGGAAGGCTTTGCAGCGGCTGGCTGCTGCGAACAGGAAAGCAAGAAATGAAAAAAGATATTGCATGGCTATAAAAAAAAGAAGAAAAAAGAGACACAGGCATCGGAAGGATGGACCGACCGACGGACAGGCATAACAGGCTGGCAGACGGACAGACAAGTGGCAAGACCAGCGTTGCAAGTTTTTTTCCTCCATTTTTTTGCTTTCTGGTAACCTCGAGAGTTTTTCCTTTTTATTTTGCGGGCGTTGCAAAAAGAAACAACGGAAAAAATGCCGCATATGCAGTGTTGTTTATAAATTGCACGCCCAAGTAAAACTTTATTTAATTAATATGATAAACGAGTGATTACCGTTGTGTCTGCCGGTGGAGTGGGGGTGAGAGACTGGGAGTTATCAATGGAATCGTGTTCTTCTCTATTTTAAGAGCGAACACGCGTTTGCGGTTCGTTTTGAGGTTATTTATTCATCACATTCTGGCGGTTCCATCTTTATCCCTTTTTCGCCTTACACTGCGTTCTGTTCTTCTTGATCCGCTTTATTTTTCTTTACCTCGTGTCTTTGTGCCGTTTACTTCTGCATTCTTATTCTCCGTTTGTCTCCATTCTCGTTAGAAGCTTTCCTTTCAAGCATCTCACATCAGGCAAAAAAGGCAATAACTACCCCCAGGGGGTTATAAGAAAAGGCGCTCCGAATCGAAACCGAAACGAACCGAATTGAACCGTGTTTTGTCGAAAAAGTCACCACTGAAAAATGTCTCAGCCCGCGTCTTTGTAGCAGCTTAGGAAGCACACACATGCACACGCGCGCAGAGACACAGGCACAGACGGTATCCATTCGGCATCCTGTGAGCCGCGTTGTGTCTGTATCTACACCGAAGTCGCCACCTCTTGGCCGGGACATCCTCCTCGTGGTCCGTTGTCTGTTTTCGCCACTCCATTCTGTTTCGGCTTTTCGGGAAATTCGATTGAAAAACGTTTACTACAATAGTACAACCACTACTATACGGCACTACTATGACAGCGAGTAAAGCTATTTTCGGCTATTTTATTTTTTAGCTTTTGCAAGTCCTGCTGAAGGCCGTTCGTCCTGTTTCACCGTTGAATTTGAATTGGACTTTTTGAGTGTGATTACATTTGGCATGGGCAAAAAACTCATACCAAACGCAGTACACTCAAGAGCGAAGGAGCTCAGTTTTGCGTTCGGTGTAGAGCCGGCGTCACAAAAGCTAGAGAGCACCGAACAGAGAGACGGAGAGAGAGAGAGAGAGAGAGAGAGAGAGAGAGAGAAGGCAGAACGGGAGCTTGCACTTGCGCGCGCCAAAACGGTGGATGGATGGATGAGTGAGAAAGGAAAGCAACAGCCACATCTATACATACACTCGTTTTCTTTATGGTGGTGGTGGATCCTCTCTCTGCAGCCTCTCTCGTCAAAATCTTTCAAGTTTAACTTGCTCTCAACGTTAAGAAAGCCGGCTGCCGGCGAGGGCTGTTGCTCCTTTTTCTTTGCTTTTTCCTCTGCATCGTCTTCGTCTTTTATGTGACTCGACTCCCTTTCCCGCCTCTCAGTCACCTACCTAACAACCTTTACCTTTCGGATGCCTTGCTAACGTGGACTCAGTTTCACCCCAACAATTCGGTTACGAGGAAATAGAGTGAACCCTTCAAGAAATTTGCAAAACTGGAAGCTGTTAAAAGTAATCGGATTAATCAGAGATAACTTAAAAACGATTGAACAGATTTTCAGTCAGAACAAAATCGAAGCAAAGTCGGCGCGCGCAATGGGTCCACTCTAAAGAGGGAGCGAGTCAGCCACATTCTCCATACATACACTCAGAAAAATATTTAATCATACATGTTTACGTTAAAATCAAGCAACACTGAAAGTCGTCAAGGTCCGTGGGAAAAGTACCAACCGATAACTATATTTTAACTTGTGTATTTTAACCAGGCGTGCGAAATTGTTTTGCAATAACTGTGGTTTCTCCTTTATCTTTCCCTATCGCTTCTCGACTCTTCTATTCCCGTTCCAAAAAAGACTCAAGTCTCGGTTACATACTCCTCTCATCCATCTCCTTTTTCCTGCCTGAACTCACTACTGCCTTAAAATGTATTATGTGTGTTCTGCGTAACAGCAACAACATGATGTTAATGCAAAAAACGCAACCACAGCAGCAGCAGAGCGACAGCAGCATCCAGCAGCTACAACTTTTGGCTTGAGAACAAAAAGGAGAGAGAATAAGAAAAATAATAAAATAAAATAAAGAAGAAAAAAGAGACAATAGACGCACGCGGTTGCTGGGGAAACAGTGAACTTTCCGTGCGAGGGCTTTGCATGTGCAAATGTATGGGTGTGTGTGTGTCGTTCACACTACCAGGCGAGAAGAGAAGCTGACAAAACAAGATGAGAGAGAAGAGCCTCTGAAGAAGATGACCAAGAGCTATGGAAAACTCATAGGGTGACTTTAGCTCAATTCGAGGTCGCACATTTTCTCAAGTTTTATTGAAGCTTGTACAAAATAAAATGACTTGCATCACCCTATGTTAATACACCTTGCCCGCTTCTGAAAAAATACTGGCACACACACACACAGCTATTCATTTCCCCTTTCCAGCAGGCGATTTGGGTAAATTTGCTCTGGCGACACTCTGCGACAGATTATTAGGCTTAATTGATTGGCTCAGCGAATTAATAACAGTTCTATTCACAGAAACAATACCATTAGGAAGGGGGTGTGGCAGAGAATTGATTAGGGAATTATTTTGCTTATTTCTTACAAATTTGATAAATGGGATAAATGAATACAGTGGAAGATTTGTAAATAAAACAATCGGCTAGCTGGGAATAGAGTTTTGCTATTTTGATATGTTTGTATGTATAAAATATTAGATCCCACATATTTGTGTATGCGTGTATTAACAAACCACTTAATAAAGATGCTCATTATTAATTCTAATTTATCTATGAACTCCATTTATCTATGAGAGATGCATCTTTTGTGAAACACATGATGGAATTATACACGGTGAATGGGGTTCACAATGGATAGGGCCGTGCCGAGTCATAATCTAAATCGTTTTCATAACACACTATTATCTTCTCTAAGTCCCTTTCAGTTCACTGCATTTTGCTGGAAAACATACTGCTTTTTTTATAGTTAAAATTAGAAAAAATATAAAATGTTTAGCTATAATAGAAAATATTGTATTACAGTATCTGGATATGAGCAATGCCCTCCAGTTTTGGGTGTAAAATTCACACTAAATGCACTAAATAGGTTCATTTCAGTTCTTTATCTGGGAATCTCATGGAAATATGTTGACGCTGCCTCAGACGCCGATGTGGTAACTGCCCTACGTTCTCCCTTCTTGGGTAATCCTGATGCTTCGATTTATTTCCCAGGTTTCTTTGACCCTGTTGCTATTGCCCTCGTTGACCTTGTTGCTGCGACCTTGTGTGATCCTGTTCCTGTTGGCTTCTTTGGTCCTGTTGCTGGGGTCTGTTCCGGTTCATCGGTATCATCTTGACTGTCTGACGTTGTTTTCACCTCCGATGCGGCGGATTCGTACAAGCTGTCCATAGTGATGTCGTTGGCAGTGTGGAACGACGATCCGGAATCGTTGAAGCTTGTCGAGGGACTGCTTGTGGGGGTTTCCTTTGCCAGACGTGTCTTACGAGGCCGAAAGTATTCGGGATCTGTTATCAAGGGCATCTTCTGATGGCCGTTCCGAAGCACATGAATAGGACCCTTGGGCAAGCACTCTTCCTTTAGCGGTAGCGGGGCCATCGATTCAACACCCATGGACATCAGGCCAAAGTGGCGCATCATTGCAACGGCCTCCCGCTCAACGGTGCTTGTATCGTTCCAGTCGGCCATTGTGGCGTGCTCACCCAGCGGCTTGGTGCCGGCGATCTGTTGTATGCGCTCCATCATGGCCAGGCTGTCGCGAATCACCTTGGTCTTGGAGCTGGCCGGCCCGTGCAGCATATCAATCTCGGCATTGCGCTTGTCGCGAGCCTCCAAGTACTTGTACGTGCTTGGGGGACGAGGGGTGTACTCCGCCTCGCGTTTCATCTCATAGGCCATCTGGCCCAGCACAAAATTGCAGCCCGGCTGCGAATCTACGAGATCGTTCTCAAAGCGTGTCGACGGGATCCAAGCCATTTTAGATCCAAACTAACGGAGCAAATTTCAGATTTACAGTTAAGCGCGAGTCAGCATAAATTTCGTTCCACTTACTCGGTTACTTTCTGTCGAAACTGGCACAAATGTAGTACGCAAAACGTTGACTTAACACAAGTCTCACAGTTTGCTGATAGCTTAAAATATAGGTGTATTTAAACATAAAACAGAAGAGTTGCCACATGTCGCGGAAAGGGAACACGCGTTTGGGCAAATATTGCGCATTGAACCACCATGCTGTGGGGAGTTGTTCTCTCACCGGTGTGGTAGATTATTTTGCGCCAAAAAGTCAAACAAAAAGAAAATGTGTAAAAACGCACAAAAACCGTGCCAACACTGTCTCTACAAAAGGGGATACATCTGCTTGGCAGCGGGGGCACTCGTCACTGAATATGAATTTCGTTTGGAATTTTCATGTTTATTTAAGCAAACTTACCAGAGGCGTCTCTTTTTCGCACACCTTCCGGCTGCCTTCTGTACGGCTGCCTACGTATACACAAATTGCGCTGTCTCACGCACAAACGCACGGGTAACAAATTTAGTTTTTCCACTCCACACTCACTTCAATTTGGACGTGCACATGCTTTCATTTACGAGTTTAGTTTAATACATTTGCGAAAATGCTGTCTTTATGCGGTATTGGGTTCAGTGTGACCGTGGGCTTATTTATCCAATATACAATGGAACCTCTAAATATATACCGAAACCGATATACTTTTCAAAAATATATCGCAACTATACCGAATCAAAAAAAGTAGTCCACTATTTTGATATTCTGATTAACATTACTTGCTATTTAGGATTCTCAGCGATAAAAGTTTAGTTTTATCCAAATGCTGAACCAATTCTCCATAAGATGGGCAAGTTTTCAAGAGTTCCTTTTATTGGATTGGATGGAGCCCCTCCAAGAAAATACCATAAATCGTGCATTAGTGAACGAATTTAGCCAACCTATTATTCTCTTCCCCTTCTTTTTGCTTACGTATCTCACACCTGGATGGTGCCAAAATTCTTCAAGTTTCTTGGAAATAATTAACTCCCTGAGTAACAATGGGTTAATCTTTCTCTGGCCATGATCGGAAATTATATTCCCAAATGTTGATATTCTGTTGAATATTATTAGCTAGCTAGAATACTCAGGACTGTACACATAGTTGAACACAATAATCTGAATGCACTCTTTGATTGCCGATTGTTTCAATTACCCGCTCTGTAGGTGCCTGAAGTATTTTTCGGTTTTTGAATAATGTACAATTAAAATTGGTGATCCCCTTTATACATATACCTCCACAGAAGCATGCCTTTGTCTCCATTTTCATACAATCCAATACAATACACTTTTAATTCTCTTTGCTTATACTCTGAAAAATTTAGAAATCAAAGGGAAAAACTTGCATCACTTTCGCTTTTCAATAATAAGCTTACAATTTATGCTTAGGAATACATCTAACTATGTATGTATGTAAATGTGTTTGCCTACGTGCCCAGCTTCGAGTACATATCTTTAATAATCTGCATTCTCGTCATCCGCGTGGCGCAGAGCCACGAGTCTTTGATCTGAAAGACATCGAATCGCTTGCGGTCCTCTTTGAATGGCTTGTAGTAAAGGCCGTAGATGATGCGCAGGATACGCTGGATGTTCTCCTTGGTGGTGCCGCTGTGCGCGCGGTAGGATGTGTTTTTATGCATATTCGTGTACTCTCCGTCGTCCCACCAATATGGAAAATCATCATTGGTCTCCTCTATGACTGGTTCCAAGGTGAGGGTTATGGGATGGTCCGTGGAATTGGTTGCTTCACTGGCAGTCTTCAAATTGGAGAGAGAGAAAGGTAGAGATGTGATTGAGGATTCCATTGGGTTGACGGTAAAATCACTTACTTGTGGCACACTCCAGCGCCAGGACAGTACCGGTTCCGGTTCTTTGAGTGGTGTAGTTGCGGGTGGCTGGTATTGTGGAGGTTGCGGCACCTCTATCGTCATCTCTGTGGGCACTCCTATCGTCACTTCTGTTGTTACCTCTGGCGGCACCTCTGCCGTCACCAGATCCACATATTCCATGGTCTGTTCCTCCGCCTGGGCATCGTGTTCGGCCATCGACAGAGCCAGCTCATCGTCCAGAGCCTCCATGTGCATATTGTCTGTATTGACATCAGCATGCTGCTCGATTACGACTTGCTCTTCTACCTCTATTACGGCCTGCTCCTGCTCTGCAATTACGACCTGTTCCTGTTCCTCGATTACGGCCTCTTCCAGCTCAGCAGTCGCTTCCTCCTCCTGCTCAGCAATGAATACCTGCTCCTGCTCCTGCTCCTGATCCTCATAGTCCTGCTGCAGCGCTTCATCCGCTCGCTGATCAATGGCCTCGTACCAGTGCACTTCGCCATTGAAATCGACAGCCTAGAAGTCACAAAAAATGGTCAAATTGCAATTTACCGATATAAATGTGGACAGGACTTACTATCATTTGCTTCTGGCTCATAACGCTGTCCTGCATTTGCGACAATGCTTCCTTATCCTCGGGGCATTCCTCAACTATCATATCATCATTTTCCAATTCCTCAAATAGCTCATCGTACAGTCGTTCCTTCAGTTTCGGTTTTGGTTTCTTTGTCGTCACCTTAACTTTCGCTCTCACAAACGGCGCCTCCTCCTCCAGCTGGTATTCCTCCGGCTCAGACTCCCCCTCATCTGTGGGTTCTGCATCACTCAAGCCACTGTAACGCACATCCCGCCGCGGTCTCAGCGTCGACTTTCTATGCGGTACAGATTTGATCTTAATCGTCTCCGACGGCCGCTTCAGCTCATGTTTTGGATACAAGACAACTTTTCTACTTAAGCCACGATGCTGATCATCCATATGCCGCCTCAGATTTGGCTCCCTGTTCGAGCTGTAGTTGCACAGCGAACACGTATGTATGGTCACAAACGGTTTCATCTCCGGCTCGGGCTCTGGCTCCTGCTTCGACTCCAGTTCTGCATGTTCTTCATGTGAGGACTCTTTGTCACTCATGTTATGGTGCACCGCATAAACATGCCGCTCCAGAAGCGCCTTCTTTTTGAAACTCTGCTTGCACAAAGAGCATTTATGGCTGTCTATCGGCTTGGACTTCTGCCGCTTCTCCAATTGCACATTTTGCCGTACCTCCCGTTTCACCTTCTGCAGTACTTGCTGTTGCACCTTCTGCAGCACATCCGGCTTCGAGTCTCCCTCATTTGAGGACTCCTTGGCTTTCGAGCCTTTGTGCTCTTGCTCCAGATGGCGGGCTAGATTATCCTTCCCTTTGGAGCTGAAGCTGCACAGGGCGCATGAGTATCGGAATCGCTGCACATTCGGCTCAAACTCCAGCTCCAGTTCCAGCTCTGCATCTGTGTTGTTTTCTCCACTCAGGCCACTGTGCCGCAGGTCCACGTGCCGCCGCAGATTCCCCTTCCTCTCCGAACTGTACGTGCACAGCATGCATTTAAACGACTTGTCGCCTCTCGCTGGATTGGTGTGCACCTGGATGTGGCGCTTCATGTCATACGGACGATTCGTTGAGTAGGTGCATCCCGTCACGTCGCAGACGATGGATGCTGGCTGATCAGACTTGTACTCCGGTGCCTCGCAGCCTGGATGTCGGTTCTGGTGGTGCCGCTTTATGTTGGATGCCTTGTCCGAGCTGTACCAGCACAGATGGCACTTGAATGCCCTCGACTCGAAATCAATTTTCGCGTGGCTCGCCTCATGACGCCACCTGTTGTAGGCACGATCGGTCTCATAGTTGCAGTTGTCAAAGCAGCACTTTAGTTTCCCGTTTGCAGTGTCCTCAGGACGCAAACTTTTAATCTTTTCCATTTAGGAGGCAAAACAAAAATTTATTGTTCATTTTCTTGGAATTGGATTCAGTGTGACCGAAGACCGTACCCTCGTGAATATACCGAAATATACGTTCTCACTTAAAAAATATACCGTAAATATACCGTAGTGTTAAATCATATTGCTCAATTTTGATGTTCTATTTGATGTAACTAGCTTGAAAAAAGTTTTAACACTAAAGCATTAGTTTAATCCGATTGAAGAATCAATTTGGCTTATTAGAAATACTCATATTTATTGAATTGTATACCTTATGACCTTATATTTTACATATTTGTATTTATTGACTTCAGTATGTAGGTGTATGTAAATTATTAAAAGAGACGCCATGTATGTTATCTGATAACATTGATAATTATTTAAAATTTGCGCGCGCAACAAAAGAGGAAGAAAATTATATTGTTTCTCTGAAAGGGAAAAGGATCATATGTAAATATTATAATAAGCTCGGAGTGGTTTGGGGACAGTTCTTCGATTCTTGCAACATAATTGGGACTGTACTCATTGGAATTATTCCCTTATTTTGCTAAGGAACACCGGATAATAATGAAAAAATCATCATTATCGCTGACTAATCAGATCTTTGATTTTAATTATTTTATTTCTATGTTATTCTATATTCAAATATCGTGATGGATATTCTCCAGGGAAGTTCTCTTCTGTGTATAACCGGTCAAGGAAATCCTCTCCTGTGTCTAAACGGTCAGGGAAATTCTCTCCTTCCAAACGCTCTCTCATGCACATCACCTTCTTGCCATACGTGCACACTTGAAAACATCGTAAATCTTAATACATTTTTCTCGATTTTGATGTTCTGTTTGAAAATGCAATCTGCATATGACTCTCCGCTTTAAATCTGTAATTTTACTGGAATCATCATTCAATTCTCCACAAGATCGTCTACTCCTCCATGATTTCTTTTTATTGGAATGTTTTCAAATTAAGTTTAACCTAAACTGGATTGCTGATATTGTATCGATAAATCGGAATGGGTGAAACGATAGTATTGGTGCGATTCTTTTTCTGGCTTCGATTTTGCATATCCTATAGCACTGTTTGTTAATTTCCTAAAGTCAGTGTTGACAACAGTACTGTGTTGGTAAGCGTATAGAGGACTTGGGTGGGTATTTCAAATAATGTTTCAAAACAGTGCATTTGATAGTAAACAATTACTTAAAGAGAAAGATATGCATGAATACCTAACTAAAAAGTACTAATTTAACTTGATTATTATTATGTGCTGCATGCAATTATCCCAAGCCATCCCCCGCCCTTTTGTGGATGACCTGGTGACACAAAGTTCATTATCCTTGCCACCGTTTACTACAGCACACATGCGCTTTGCGCCGCATGCAGCCGGCTTTCCGTTTTCATTGAGTTTTCATTAATGGAAATGGCCCTCCCCTCGCTCCCTGCTCTTCACCCGGCGCTTCGTGGCGATGCTTCGTCTTCGCTGCAATGTTCGTGGTCGTAGTCCTTGCAGTTTCGAGCCATTCCGTGCTTTCCGTTCTGTTTTGGGGCCAGTTGCAAGTCGACAGCTGGCCAAGGCACATGGAAAACTCGCCGAGAGGAAAACGCGCCAACTACAAACAGAAATAAATAAAAGAAAAGAAAACCAACGACGGGTAGAAAATAATTTCCAATTATTAAAGTGAAAAACATTATTTTGGCTGGCATCGGCGGGGTCAGTGGGGGTATAAAAGAGTAAATTCTAATGAAAAATGGGCTTGCCTCGGTCCCAGGGCTCAATCTGTCTCCGTTTCCGCTCGTGTGTGTGCTTGTGTATGTGTGTGTGGGCGTCGCATGCCATTAAAATAATTGCACAAATATATCCGGTTATGTTGCTCCGAAAATGCTGTTTGTCCATGTAGCCAGGAACCCCCCCGACTGAGAAACAAACAAGCTACAATAATACAAAAAAAAAGTTTTAATTGGTTGGCCTACGCCCCCGCAACCCCCGCACACCACCCTTTATGAAGCAGCCCCCCCTCCGGCTCTAATTTCGACCCTCCCCTGGGGAGACCCTTCTAAATTGGCATAAATTCATTTATGGGTCAAACACCCTCTTGGAAGTTACGAAAACTAACCAGCGAATAAAATTCCCCTGCACCCCGGACTGTGCCTGTGTGTGTGTGTGTTGTTTGTGTGTGTGTGGACTTCCGGTTGCACTGCACGTAACGGAAATATGCAGCCCCGCGCGACACCCTTCAGCCCACACTGATTTGCTGCTTTAACAATTTCCAATTTGTGCAAGGTTATTCTCAGTGAAAGAGAAATGGAATGTTGTTGCCCCAAAATAGTATCTCGAAAATAGCAAGTGAGATATTCTAACAAGCTAAATGAACTAAACGTTAAGAATCATTCAAAACGTCCACACGTGTAATTAAAGCCAACACAAAGGAATCATGAAATCAAATGAAAAAATATTGAAAAGCGATTTGCAATTGCTAATTGTTTATAATTCAAACGAAATGTTTTTCATCTCGAGAGGCACACTCATAAACAACCAAAGCGAGGAGAAAGGGGAACATGTTTGACCGAACCGAACGTGGAATACTCTTGCCAAAGGGGGGAGACTATTAATATATCATTGAAAACTTCCCCAAATATTACAAATATCCAGTCGGTTTATTGCTCTCATTTATTGCATCATTATTAATGACATTTTTTCACTTATTTCTTATTATGAATATTAATTAGCAAATTAATTCAATGAAAATGTTTTTTGACTCATTTTTTATTCCCATTTTTGTGCTGAAAACAAGGTCCATACGATCCAACAATCTACAACATATTTCCACCATGCCATGCGTTATCCATTCCATTATTTCTTTACAAAACTCTTCTCATATTTCTTTCCATTCTAATCATTCACAAATCAAATACATCTAAAAGTACCCTTGAAGTTTCTTTTAATTATACGCTCCATCAGCCACTGCTCTAGTCTCTAATAAATTGGATATGCCAGCTATAAATACCCCTCCCTTTGGCTAGAGTATTTATCAAAACAGAAGAAATGTAAAATTATGAAAACAAAATCTGAGATCGTGAGAGTTTAAACAAATTGAATTCGCGCCTCAAAAATCGCTACTCTTCTGTCGATTGCAGGAATCAATTTTCAAAAAAGTAAATACATTACAGAAAAAATTCAAAAACTGAAATAATTTTCAACTCACTGTCGCTGTCAACGTCAACGTCGCTGCTAAAGTCGCTGCCAACGTCGCTGTCAACGGTGCACTGGAGGTTCTACGACAGCAAACCCGTTCAATTGCCGCTCTCAAGAGGAAATCTCAACTCAAGGTGAGTCAAGGAAGGAAAGGCTGGGTTGAGGGGGGTACACAATGATAAGCAGAATCATTATTTGCTTCTGCCACTGTTTTTTCCATTGTTTGCCCAGTGGCCTTTGACCCGGCCAGGTGGTCGTTCTCCACCACATCTTGTCGATGACTCTTCAGTGTCGTCCACTTGTCCCAGTTTCTGCAGTTTCAATTTCCATGCAGCTCTACAGCTATGGATAGGGGTCAATGGGTGGCGTGAAAGAAGGGAGGGAGGGATAAGGATAAGGAGTGATATTTCTCATCTAATTTGCTGTTTTCTAGAAGTTGAAGGAGTTGCCAGCACTCGAGAGTTCCTTTTGATTAGCCCAAATGCAAAGTAAATGGTGAAAAGAAAACAGTCGGTGGTTGGTAGAAGTTTATGCATTTCTGTGGGTTATTATTAAATGGTATAATAATAGAAAAAGCTGAGTTTATGTTTTGGAAAATGAATGGTAAGGTTATTTCGATACTCTTTCAGGGGAATTGGCTGTAATATTATGGGTAATGAAATATCGTAGGAAGACGGCAATGTGATTGCTGAATAAAGAAGAGATTTCTTCGAGCATATTGATAGAAGAGACATGATTGATGGTAGAGTATAGGAAAGACAGGTTTTCTAATGATAAAGATACACAGCCAATTAATATTATAAGATTTGATGGAACACAGAAGAGACAATAGAAGATGGTCTAGCTACAATAGAAATAACCCTTAAAATATGACTTTATTTATGTATCAAGTTCTATCAACAGTCGCATAAACATTATATAAATATGTCTGTATGTATGTAAAATATGTCTGTAAATCTTCATGACCATCGAACTTTATCCGCCTGCACTTTTCTTTTAACTTTGTTCTGAAAAGCGTGCCTTTTCTTATACCTTTCGTGTGTTTTTCAACTAAAAATGTAACCGTAAAACGAGTTAACCTACTTTTTTCGATGTAATGGTGTGTGTGAGCTGTGTGTGTGTGTGTGTTTGTGCGGGTGTGTTTGTGTCATGCATACAGTTGCATTTCAACTGTTGTTAAGCGCCTTACCCCTGCGACTCCCCCACGTCTGCGTTGCATGCAAATAAACACAAGAAAAAAACAAACACATATACGGATACAGGCAAGAAACTTGATTCATTTGCCTGTGCATGTTGCGCCCTAAACGGAAGCGGACACACACACACACACACACACAGAGAGAACATGCACACAAAGGACCAAATACATATAACAATCCTCACATAATGGGTAGGAGCGCAGAGGGAGCAGCGAAACAGCTGAACAGCTGTTCAACAAAAACAAAACATCAACACGAAACGAAAGGATTTTCATTTTAAAGTCGAATATTTAAATACCCTAGAAGGTCGATGATGCACTTTAAAAATGTGAAACAAATCACAGAACTCCAGGAAAAGATTACGGCAGAAGCACCACTGACCGCGGAAATTCTTCTCTTTGTCTAGTATAAAAATCACCATATCCTGCATGCAGAAGGGCATAATGAAAGGGTTGAAACATGTGGCAAAAAAAGGTTGTGGTGGCACCATTGGCGGGGCCGCTGGCACGGAGGGTGCCTTGGGGTCACCGTAGACCGAGTGCAGTGCCCTCAATTAGAAGGCGCTCAAGGACAGCGGCAAACAGCTGCAACGGCAACCTGAAAACCCTAGCAGCAACAACATCTGGTCGCTAAGTTCGCCTTTAATTGCTGGGAACACGGCGTATACGTAATGCCGACCTGTATTTCCATATGAAAATTACACACTGCATTTGTGTGAGTGTGTGTGTGTGTGTGTGTGTGTGTGTGTGTGGGGCTTTTCTTACATTGAATTTTGATTTGTATGGTCGCCGCCCTACACTTTGAACTTTTCCCTTTTCTCAAGCAGCTTGCGTATGGCCTTCTGCTAAGTTGGCTGGTGGAATGTAGGAGGAGGATCAGCAGAGGGTGGGAGGGAACAGTGAAGAAGGCGTGACGCGTCGAGAGGAGGCGCCAAGTAGTTTGCCGTTGCCTTGGGTTGCATCTCTCAGCCTCATCTTCAGACTCAAGTTACTGCCGCAAACAAAAACACGAAAACAACGAAAGCAAACTTGAAAAATCTCGAATACCTTGCTCATTGGGTGGCGGGGCGCCTGCTTTGCTTTAATATATAAACTCCACCTACTGACTAGTGCGATTAAGGAATAATTACTAACATTTTTCTTTGATTTTCTTTGCTTTGCTTTAGCTATTTGGATTTTTAGTTTGTTTATCTTATTCAATTAAATTAATTTATAGTTTACGTTTGATCCCTCCTCCATTCTACACAGTGTGAGGGAACATTGCATTTTTGAATCATTTGGAATGTCGCGTCTTTTTCCCTCCTTCTGGCTTTCTATGCCTATCTCCTTCTTTGTCGAGTGTTGCAATTTGTGCAATGTTTGTCCGGTATGCTACTACTTTCAGCTGCTGCTGTTTGGTTGCTGTTGTTTTTCCTGGCTGTCCTCGACGTTGTCTTTGCCTGCTGCACGAGCCAAGGACACGCATTTTGTGTCTGTATTTGCAACTGCATCTGTATGTGTGTCTGTGTCTGTGTCTGTGCATTGGGCGCCAGAGAGCCACAAGTCGTTGGCGTTGTTGCCCGCAACAAGGACACTCGAGGCATGCATGCCAGATTTATGCCATTCTGCCTCTGCTAGTCCTTCTCCTCCTCCTGCACAGCTCCACCTGGGGCTGCCAGAGCATCTGCTTTCAGCATCAGACCACCCCAAAAGCAACCCTCAAAAACAGCCGGATGTGCGAGACCTTCGCTAGAGGTGAAGCGACAAACCTGAACCTGAGGCTCGACAGCAAATTACGCCGCTGTGTCTCTTTTTTGCCACGTTCTGTCTGAGTTTAAAACGACTTTAAAAAATTCGAAGAGTCATTGATGACGTCAGGACTGTCATCGATGATTTGAATAATTTTTTAAGCAATATTTGAGAGAAAAAGAGTTACATTTTTTAATAGTCAACTTTATTGTAAAGTGTATTCCTTCTTTTGTCACCAAAGTTTTCTTTCTTTCCTTCCTGCTTGTGTATGGTTTTTGGATGTGGCTGCTGGTTTGGTTTGGTCAGGCATGAAGGCAACAAGCAGTGTCGGTCTGGCCCATCTGCAGCCTCTTGTGTAGCTTCTGCTTTACTGATAGTTGTTACTGCAATCTTGACATTTAATTATCTGCTGTTTGTTGGGTGCCACAGACACTGCCATGGCTCTTGCAAACTGCAACTGATGCTGCTCTGTGCTGTTCTGTGTGTCAAGGTTGGGGTTTGTTTTTGGCGGCAGGAAGGAACAGCAGCTCGGTCAGAGACAGTAACAGAGCTTGGTATAAGGGTAAGGTGAGCCTGCTGTCAAGGTCTGTCGTCTATTTAGGAAATTCGAGAAAATTTTACTGGCGGAAATTCTCTTCAATTCTTAAATTTGGCAACATTTTCGATGACAGAGTCGAAGATGGAAATGGATTTTGGAGACTGGTGTTGATTTTGAGAACTGCTTTGGACTTGGTGGGGAAAATAAGCAAACTATCTTCCACAGATTGATGGGAAAATTGGCAAATACAATTTAGTAATCAATCTAAAAACTAATAAAATACACTTAATTAATATTTCTAGATGTTCTACACAATTAATTCACAATTCCCAGATCCAATTAAGCCTTAACTAACAAAACTAACAAACTAATATACATATTATCTCTCTCTCTCTCTTCTCTGGCATCTCAGTTGTCGAAATGGAGCGATGCGAAAACCGGCGAAGAAGGCGAAGGTAAGCAGAAACTTGCCAAATCCTTCGTACAAATTTTGCATTACGTATGCGCCATGTACGCGGCAGTTTGCACGAAGACAATCTCTTTCCCTGTTGGATTACTTATGTCTTGGCAAATAAAAGGTTCAAACAAATTTGCGGGGGAATTTATTCAACTTAAGTTACACAAATGGCACGTCCTAAAGATCTTTTTTGGTGCGGATTTACATCAATTGAACATTGAACGTGGCAGGAGAAAATGGGGTTAACAAGATGCTGAATATTGGCACATATTTGAGGCAGGTAAAAGAGGAAAACCTTAGCACCATGAACTTACTAGGATAAGTAAGAGAAATAACTATCCCTGAGTTCTTTCTATTCTCTTTTTCTGACCACTCATTGTCCACTTAAAGAGCTCATCATTAAGTCAACTGGTGATAATGGCGACTGAATAATGTAGCAGTCCTCTAACCAGGACAATCGCAGCTGTTTTGAGGTTCGATGTTGGCTAATACGAGCACCACTCGTACACAGTTTTCAGGTCAATCAATAGCATTTCGATGGTTCAAGCAGGTGATTAGTATGCCAACCGTGAAACGATTGTGTTTCTATGTGTGCGTGTGTGTGTGAGTTTGGGTTGGGTGCAAAATGGCGGCATAGTCGTCGCCATTTTCGCCGTGGTTTCCTGTGCACACGACCTACGACAACCCACAACAGAATTGTCCTAGGTTAGTTCCTGCGCAGACTCACACCACATGAAGCACGCATACACTCATACATTTATTTAGTAGCTGTATGACTGTGTGTGTATGTGTGTATGTGTGTGTTGTAGGTGCAATCAATGAAAGTTCAACGCACGTAAAACGAAGGCAACGAAGGCAACGAAGGCAAACCCTTTTGCCTTGTCCGAAAGTTCTTCTTTGCTGTGAAAAAAATACCAGTTCAAAGTTAATTTAAAAATGTAAAGACACACAATAATCTTGTAGGTTTAACCAAGTTCTAGATGGTATCCTGACCTAGGTAGCCATTAAATATTGAATGGTTGGTACCCTTGCATGGCGCTTCTGGCATGAATGTTTAATTGAATCAAAGCCCATCTTTGTTTAGTTTTGCAGGGACAAGCAGTGATTTTCAGTTGAGGTTTCAATTAATTAAAATATTATGTGGGAGTTTTTAATTGTGGAACAGTATGACTAGTAACGAGAGCAAAAATCGAGGGACATGAAAATTGTGTCTAAAGTTTAAATTAGTTCATTGTTTATAGTTTATCAATCAACAATCAATCGAAACAACAAATCTTTCAGCTAAGAATGGAACTTTTCTCCACATCTTCTTCATCCTAAAATAATCTTTAGGAATGCAATTTCTTTTTTGATCACGTTCAGTAAAGCCTCGTTTAGCCATTCCCACAGCCAATAACTTTCCTCCATATCCAAAAATATTTGAAAATGTTTGAACAAATCCTGCACCCCTTTACACCCTCCACCAGCCAACAGCACTCCGTAGCCAATGCCAAGTTAAGGGCTCAGCAAACAACGTTGCATATTTTATGTGAGTGTGGAGGGGATTTGAAGGAGCACAGGGTATGGGAAAAGAAGGCTGTTTACGGCGCGGAGGGTGTTACTTTTGGGGTGTTGCAGACTGATACTCACACAGGCAGCTTTTGTCACTGTCAGTGTGTATGAGCGAGTGTGTTTGTGTGTGTCAGTGTGCGTGCATTGCTTTTTAATATGCAAGCAATAATTGACCCAGATTTTTGTTGGCACCCTCTAAAAGAAATTACCCCCAACATCGCGTATACGCCGCTTGTTTGTGTTTGTGTTTGCTTTTGTGCTTTCACTTTCACTTTTTGTTTCTTTTTGATGTATTTTATACCCTTCAAGGGGTAGTTATTATTCCTATGATTCTTATGAACGAACAAATAATATTTCTTATGAAGGAAGGACGCAGTTTTGATGTTTATATTTCAATGAACTATTACTTATTAAGTCATGTCTAGCAAGAGAAGGTCCACAAAAAGGAATTTAGTACAATAGTTTTTTCTCAAAAAAAAAAGGAAGAGTAATTGTTGGAAGCAACCGGATCGAGCTACCATAAGATCCATTGAAATAATATGAATAAAAATCACATTTACAGATTCCCACAAAACGTTTAAAATTCTATCTCGAAAATTCAAATATAAATATATAAATATTATGACTCTATTTATAAAACCAGCCCATCTAAAAGAGCATCCAACTGTTCGACTCTTGCTGCGGTAATGGTTTCCTCTTGTTTTCATGTTTTAATTTTAATTTTTTTGCCTTTTGGCGTTTGCATTTTGCGCTTGAAAATGATTATTTCATTTGCGGCTCGGCTCAGCTCAGCCAAAGGCTATCGAAAATCAGTGCAAATAAGTGTTAATGGCAATTTGATGATTTCCATGGAGTTGCCCGTCCAATGGCCTTGGACAGCGTCTGTCTGCCTGTGTGTGTGTCTGTCGGGCTTGTGGGGTTGGGTGTTTTTTGCTCAAGGCCATGGACGGGCACTGTGTTAACTGGATTATCTGCGCCAGACATCAATGAAGAGAATGAGAGGTGCCAGAGGTGAGGTGAGGTGTACTTATGGAGTGTAATTCTGTTCACAGACGACGGAAAAAAGTTGCACTTTGTGAGCCCCGCACGAAGGAAATCGGTTCTGGCGCCCATCCTCAATAAGATCAAGAATGGAGCGGATGCCTCGGAGAACGCTGACAAGAAATTGGGCAGCGAGTGCAGTGGCAGCGGTCACATAGCAGTCCAGATCGAGCCAGCCAGGCGTGTCAAGGTGGGTCTTCCCATTTCCCGCTGTATTCCCATTTATTGTAAAAATTCGTATACTTCCTACAGCGTCACAGCATTCACGGCATGATGGAGGAGGAGAACACCATCCGACCGCATCAGGAGATTCGACAGCTGACGCTGGAGGAGAAGAAGTTCCTGCTGGCCGTGGAGCGTGGCGATATGGCTGGCACTCGTAGGATGCTGCAGAAGGCACAGGACACGGACTACATCAATGTGAACTGCGTGGATCCGCTGGGACGCACCGCCCTGCTGATGGCCATCGACAATGAGAATCTGGAGATGGTCGAGCTGCTGATCAACTACAATGTGGACACGAAGGATGCACTGCTGCACTCCATCTCCGAGGAGTTTGTGGAGGCTGTGGAGGTGCTGCTGGATCACGAGAATGTCACCTTTCACAACGAAGGGAATCATGTGAGATCCGCTCAATATTTGACCGTCCCCTAACGATCATTAAAGTTGTTTGTTCTCCTTAGAGCTGGGAGTCTGCCTCGGAGGACACTTCCACATTTACGCCGGACATTACACCACTGATACTGGCTGCCCATCGGGACAACTATGAGATTATCAAGATTCTGTTGGATCGTGGCGCCGTCCTGCCCATGCCCCATGATGTGCGCTGTGGCTGCGATGAGTGTGTCCAGTCCCGGCAGGAGGACTCTCTCAGGCACTCGCGTTCGCGCATCAATGCGTACAGAGCGCTGGCTAGTCCCAGTCTCATAGCACTCTCCTCCAAGGATCCTATACTCACGGCCTTTGAGCTGTCCTGGGAGCTGCGGCGTCTCAGTTTCCTCGAGCACGAATTTAAGGTGATTATTGAGATAACTTCTGGGCTGGAAGAAAATAAACCTTTGTGTATTACTTGCAGAATGAATACCAGGAGCTGCGTAAACAGTGCCAGGACTTTGCCACTGCACTGCTGGACCACACACGCACCTCCCATGAGCTGGAGATATTGCTTAATCACGATCCCACCGGTCCGATATACGAACATGGTGAACGCATGCATTTAAATCGCCTCAAGCTGGCCATCAAGCTGCGCCAGAAAAAGGTACGCTTCCGTCTGCCCAGCTGAGATAAACCAATAAATTCTGTTTTGCTATGTTCTGCAGTTTGTCGCCCACTCGAATGTGCAGCAATTGCTGGCGAGCATTTGGTACGAGGGTCTGCCCGGATTCAGGCGCAAAAATATGGCACTGCAGGCCGTCGATATCATACGCATTGGCATTATGTTTCCCATCTTCTCGCTGGCCTACATACTGGCCCCATACTCCGGCATTGGCCAGACCATGCGCAAGCCCTTCATCAAGTTCATCTGCCACAGCGCCTCGTACTTTACCTTTCTCTGTAAGATTCCCCTCCCCATTGAAACTCATTCAATCCACTTACCCATTCTCCCCACAATTCTGCAGTTCTATTGATGCTGGCCTCCCAGCGCATTGAGACCTTCATTGGTGGCTGGTTCTTTGCCGATGACTCGAACATGATGAACAAAGTGGAGGAGGTGCCCACGAAGCGGGGCGCCAAACCCACCTTTATCGAGTGGCTCATCCTGTCGTGGGTGAGTGGCCTCATCTGGAGCGAGGTCAAGCAGCTCTGGGACGTGGGCTTGCAGGAATACCTCAATGATATGTGGAATGTGATCGATTTTGTAACCAATTCCCTTTACGTGGCTACAGTTGCACTCAGAGTGGTTTCCTTCTTTCAGGTGAAAGTTCAATACCACTCACACATGGCTCAATACTGAGGAAACACTTTCTGCTTTCTCGATTTTGTAGGTGCAAAAGGAAATGATTTATAATTCGCATGCCACCGATTTGCCGCGTGAACGTTGGGATGCCTGGGACCCGATGCTCATCTCGGAGGGTCTTTTCAGTGCGGCGAACATTTTTAGTAGCCTCAAACTGGTATACATCTTCTCGGTGAATCCACATTTGGGGCCACTGCAAGTGTCGCTGTCACGCATGGTCATGGACATTATGAAGTTTTTCTTTCTCTATGTCCTCGTGCTCTTTGCATTTGGCAGTGGTCTTAATCAGCTGTTATGGTGGGTGGAACAACACATACAACAGACACTTAACACCAAATTCTTTATTGGTTCTTCCAGGTACTATGCGGATCTGGAAAAGAAACGCTGCCCTGAGGTCTCACCAAGCAGTGTGCTGCTCAATATGAATGGCACCAATGATCCCAATGCCTGCATTGTATGGCGTAGGTTCTCCAAGTTAGTGTCTCACCACCTGCCTAATTGGTAAACCATTTCAAGAGATTTATCTCACTTTCATTTCAGTTTATTTGAGACCACACAAACGCTCTTTTGGGCCGTGTTTGGTCTGATCGATTTGGACAGCTTCGAGTTGGATGGCATCAAAATCTTTACCCGCTTTTGGGGCATGCTAATGTTTGGCACCTATTCGGTGATCAATATTGTTGTGCTGCTCAATCTGCTCATTGCCATGATGAATCATTCGTATCAACTGATTTCGGTGGGTAGAAAATTCAACAGAGATAAATCTTTGTTTATTTATAATTTTCTCTTTCCGATCCCGCAGGAACGTGCCGATGTGGAGTGGAAATTTGCACGCTCAAAGCTTTGGATAAGTTACTTTGAGGAGGGTGGCACGTGTCCTCCACCATTTAACATTATACCCACGCCAAAGTCCATTTGGTATGCCTGCAAGTGGATGCGACGTGTTTTTTGCAGTGGCTCATCGGCAGCTCGTAGAGAACATCTGAAAACGATACGGGTTGGTGGTTTACACTTAATAAAAGACTCTAGTTCAAACCTTAACTCTCCTTTAGCGCAAAGCACAACAGGCTAGCGATCGTGACTTTAAGTACCAGCAGATCATGCGGAATCTGGTGCGTCGCTATGTGACGGTGGAGCAGCGAAAGGCCGAGTCTCAGGGCGTCACCGAGGATGATGTGAATGAGATTAAACAGGATATATCCGCGTTCCGCTGTGAGCTGGTTGAAATACTCAAGAACAGTGGCATGGACACGAATGTAACTGCGGGACAAGGAGGTGGTAAGTGCAAAGAAACTAATGCCTAAGAGCATTGCGTCTTTCTCTAAGAGTTTTTGAATATTCCCCACCAGGAGGCGGTGGCAAAAAGAATCGACAGAAGGAACGTCGCCTGATGAAGGGCTTCAATATTGCACCACCGGGCTCGACGGGTTCTTTGGCACCTGTGGCAGAGTTTTCTACATCCTTGGACAACTATGACAACCAGCACGAGATACTGAGCTCAACCATTTCCACACTCTTTACACCCAACTTTATGCACAAGCGCCAGCAGAGTCAGCAGGCGGGTTGTGGGGGCTCCGAGTCACCCACATCGCCCACACAGGGAACGGCTGCTGTGACGACTGGACCAAGTGGTCCAGTTACCAAGTACAATAAGTCCGCCTTGAAGCCGTACAACAAGCGCATAGCTGGACACAAGAAGCGATGGGGTAGATGCAGCTTTTAAACCATTTTAAGTATTTAATTAATTGTCAAATTGTTTATTTTCTAGGCACACTCATAGAAGCCGCCAAGGTGGGTAATGTGAGCAAAATGCTGGGACGCTCCAAGTCAGAGGATTCGGTGTGCAATACCTCGAATAATTCCACACCTGTGCATGGACAGCTGCGGGTTACATATGCACAGAGCTCGCCACAGCATGGCTATGGCTATCATGGAGAGTCCATGCCACCAGCGGCTGCAGCGGCTGCAGCGGCAGCAACACCAACGCCCACTGCCTCGAGCAATCCAACACCCACACATGTGGGCGTGGGTTCACATTTCTTTCACACAACCAGCGGTGGGTGAATCTTAAGATTGCTAGCAAATGCACCTCCCTGGATACATGTTTCTCCTACAGGTCTGACTGCCATCGCTGCCCTGAAGCGGAAGCGCAAAAAGTTTTCATCCAGCAAGAACATTTGTCCGGTCACAGAATCGGTGGCTGCTGCCACGGCTGCTGCAGAGCTGCTGAACGATAAGGTTTGGCTATAGATCCGCACGATCCGCAGAACATAATTAATGAATGAATCTTTTCTTAGACCCTTAAGCGTGTGTCCAGCTATCCGGCAGCCACTGCCGAGGGCGGAGTACAGCATAAGGATCCCGCCCAATTGGTGAAGCCGCGACGACACGAGCAGACCCAAAGCCAGCACGATTCGGTGGAGACGTCCACATTTACGCTGTCCATTGATCCATCCAATACGTCGGTCAACTCGAGAGAGCCACTCATCAGCACCAGCTGTGTCTCCACCATGGGAGCCGTTGGCTGAGGGAACACTCGAAGGAAAAACTCATCCAATTGAGTTGAATATTGTCAGAGATACCAAAGATGTAGCAGCTAGCTAACTTAGATAGCGCACCTGATATGCAGATACCTAGAAGCAGAGATGATACATAAGACATAAACAGTCTGGCGCTAAACTAACCAAAAAACTTAAACCCAACACAGGCTAGATGTTAAATTACCTCACCACGGATATAGTCATAGAAATCGCATACCAAATAACAAACCAACACTCCATAGCTGTTGGCCATACAGCCATATAGCCCTGCAGCATACTAACTACTCTGTAACTTTTCATACAGCACCACTTACCTCACTACTACTAATCTCACTCTATGCCGTCATATTGAAAGTTCAAAGAATTCTCCCACTCAATAACCATGTTCCAACACTGCTTGTCAGTGTTGTCAGCTTGTCCAACACTAAACCTAAATCGTCACCTGAGACTCTATATCCAGCACCCACAAACACACATATCATATGATCGCTTTATAGAGAAACCTTTACAGGAAAACAACAACAAGAGTCACTCGAAATCGAGTTGCATACAAAAATCCCTTTACCAAATACAAAAATACAAAAATACAAATATGAAATACGAATTAAACTACAACTAAAACTATCCCATATCGATGTTGAACCGTTGCCTTAGCATGAAACATATTTTTTATACACATAAGTTTTGGATGAACATTGAATTAACGTATTGTACTCGGAACTGAGGGAAGCGCGCGCTGTGTATTTGTTGATTTGAGATAATGGATTAAAGCCAAGGATTTGTAATTGTTCAAGCAAGCAAGCAGTAAAGTAAAGTAAATAAATCAAGATATGTACCACAAATTTTATACACCGATTTTAACCAACAACACAGCAAAACAATAATCGAAATTTGCAGTACTTACTACTAAAGTGTTTGCATTTTATGGATATAAATATAGATACCCGGATAACCGGACTATGATATGCCCATATCCATAATCTACACACAAACACAACGATTTTAGCATAGCATACAAGTATAATATACAATTACCTATAACTATACCTACATATGGACTACAACTATTGAAACAAATACGAATAATCCAAATTTTTAGATGATTTTTTGCGTTAAAGTAGACACACACCCACACACACACGAACAATACTTACGAGTGCATACATATATGGAATATCAACGAATACAATAACGAGTAATGTCGTATAATATTTTATATCAACCGAAACATGTCGTACCATAGCAAATGCAATGCATCCCAAGTACATATCTCTGTTGCTTCAAACTCGAACGAGCAAATGCAGGTATGCGAACGGAATACGATACGAACAACAAATGTTAGAATAACTAAAAATAAAAAACAAATAAAATTGTTATTTGCACGGACAAAATAAAAATAATACAAAATATCTAAACTAAGGCGTATTTAATTTTAACCTGATTTAAGCGTCTGGATTCGGAGTGTCTAAAATATACTACATTTAGTCCACAAACTACAGATTGAGCAGCTCTGGAAGCAATAGATTCAGCACCTTCTCGCAATCCTTTCTTCATCGACATTGTTTGGTAAGTATTTTTCAGATTAAAAACCACCACTTTCGATAATTAAAAACACCAGTTTAATGTTTATTATTTGTATATCGCATTTATTTTAAATGTTTCATATATATATATTTGCAAATAAATTTTATATATATGTATATAGATTTTGTTGTTGTTTCATTTATTTTTGTTGTCGTAATGTTGCGTCATTTATATAAGATAAACAAATAAATCGACACATAGGTATATATAATTAGATACATGTATATTGTTGTATTTTTCGTTTATACACACATATATAATATATATTGTAACCATTTACCGTTGTAAACATAGAAACATTACATAATTTCCATTTATATATCATTTGATTCCGATTTAAGTTTATTTTTATTTATTCATATATATATATATATGTATATATGTTGTTTTGTTTTAAATTTGCATCAAGCAAATGTTTATTTTTTACATGAACAAACATTTGTTTTTGTTTTCGTTTTTTTGGGATTTTTGTGGTGATTTTCTTTTTTTTGTTGTAGATAAGATTCCGTTTTTGTATAATTCACATTAAATGCTATGGAAAGAAACAATTACATTTATTTTAATTTATTTTATTAGAAAAATAATAATAATTGGAATATAAATCACTTTGCGTTGCATTAATTAGGCTATAAATTTCATATATATTCATATATACTAAATAATTTTTCGTTTTCATTTTCATATTTCTTCATTTTTCCCAGTTGGGACTGCTATAGCAGTGGACAAGCATACAAAAATATTTTGGATTCAATTTGTTTTAGTCGGTTGTGAAAAAATGCAACAATGAGCCAACAATATGGCAGCCCCAACTGGGGACTTGCCTTGGTTCTCCCTTTTTGCGTTTTCCTCATCTTGTGTGGTTGTCCTTTGAATATGTATTTAATGGTTTATCATAATAAATTGTGTAATATAATTCGTATAAAAATGTTTTGTGAGAATGGAAAAAAGCGTCTGCTGTTTACATATTCATACATTTATATATCTATGCAAGTGTGTATGTGTGTAAATTGGAGCGATTGGGGAAACAATTGTACAGCACGGGAATACTTGTTTGCTGGTAGTCTAATAAATTCATTTATTTCGTTTTTAAATCGTTTTGCATTTGCTCTCCATTATTTTTACGGCCCACTATGCCTTTTCATAGTTTTTTGTTTTTTTTTTTGTTTATGTAGCTTGAACTATTATTTACATTCCTAGAGTGTTTTCACACAAATCATTTAAAATTAATAATCAAAATTCGGATCTGTTTCAAGAATGTATAAGTATTTAGGGGGCTGGGTCACGCCTCCAAATGCTAGTCTTACATGCAGAGCAAATGCAAATGTTTGTGTGTCTTGCCAAAGCTGCCTGCCATGCCATCGCATACGCGCATTAAATTAACAGTTTGAGAAGCATTTTGGAGCAGGTTTGACAAGTACTCGTGAGCCTTACAGTTGTTTCTTTTTGAGAGAGAGTGGAGCAGGGGGTATAAAAAACTCTTTTTATATAGCACATATGGAGATTATTCTTTTGTTTTGTTTCGTTTTGTGACAATGATTTTTAGCAACAACAAATATTACATATATGTACTCGTAAGTAAATACCATTATTGTAACATTTTACAAACATTTAGACGCGTGTGTGAATGTATTAGTTTTAATCCTTTTGTTCCGCCATCGTTTATTGTGTTTTTTTCTTCTAGGTGTTTCCTGTTCTTATTTTGCTGGTTGGTTGGTTTTCAGTTTCGTTTGTTTAAAATTAGACAATTTACAATTTGATTTTGATTTCGTTTTTGTTTATATAAAAAATACATAATTACAACTAATTGTTTGAATCACTTCTTTGAGACATACATAAAGTGCATTTGTTTTATTCCTTCGTTTTGTTTCTTCACATTTTTTGTTACTTTTTTGTTATCGATTTTGCTGTGATTTGCATGCTTACAGTTGGAGAGTCACTTTAGCCGCGCAACATGTTGACCAGCATCGCCGCCAGGATGGTGACGAACAGAAATGAAACCACAATGCAGACGGCCTTCTGCTGGTCACTCAGCCGCTTCCGATTGCTGTACAGAGACGTCATCTTGGCCGCAAAGCGACGCAGGGAACCGCCCTGGCTGGCCAGTCGTGCGGAGATGGCCGTTGAGGAGCTACCGGTGATGGCGCCGACGACACCGCCGCCGTGCGGATGATGGGCATGGTGCATGTGATGGGAGTGATGCAAGTGGTGCTGGTGATGCATGTGATTGCCGCGCAGAAGGAGATTGGAGCCGGCACAGCTCGAGCCTGCCGTGGAGGAGCCAGACGATGCGTTGCCATCGCCGCCACACGGCTGATGATGATGGTGGTGGTGATGATGATGGTGATGCAGTGGATCGCCGCAGGCATTGAAGTTCGACAGCTCCTGTTGCAGCCTGCCAATGGCCAGGGGATCGGCTCCCACGCCGCTGCTGCCACTGATGGCCGAGGCACTCACGGACCTCAGGTGCAGGCCATTGGTGGAGCCATTACCCGCCGACAGCTTCCGGCTGCTTCGCTGCGAGGAGTGTGTGGCCGTATTGGGGGACGTGGAGCCGTGCAGGTGGTGGTGGCAGGTGGCCGAACTGGGATCCAGCTCGTTGGACACCTGATACCGCAACGGACTCGATGGCTGGCCGTAGAGCAGCTCTCCGCCGGACGCTATCCTCACGGGACAGACGCGGAACTGGTAACAGGTGCCCGCAGCCAGATTGTCAATGGTGAACTTTGTCTCAGGGCCACGGTACAGCTGACGATAGTCCTGGTTGGCCAGATTGAGTGGAGCTCCGCTCGCACTGCCGCTGGAACTGCTGCTGCGACCCTTGGGCGTCTCCGTTTCCAGTTCAGCGGCACTCAGAACCGCGTACTGCAGCTCGTACTCGACACGGTCGTGGAAGGAGTTCTTCGAGTGCTGCCACTCGAGGGTCAGCTGCATGCCCAACTGTCCGGGCAGATCCATCAGGCACACACTGTTCTCGTGCACGACACGAGGCGGCTTGATGTTGGCCGGCAGCGTGGCACTCGTCTCGAACACATAATCCTCGGAGTAGTCACCATCGCCAGCCCTGTCCGTGTGGGCGTAGATGCGGAAGGTATAGCTGCTGCGCTCCTGCAGCTTGTGCACCTTGCACATGCAATTGGTGCCGGAGTAGACGGCCTGGAACTGCTTCGCTCGGCTCACGTACATCTCCACAAAGTACTTGGTGAAGTCAGCGCCACCTGCGGCCGCTGCTCCATTGGTCTTGCCGCCCGGTCCACCCTCGCCCCACTTCAGCTTGATGTAGTTGTGGCCCGCACCGCTGCACTCGAGGCGCGGTGGAGCTGGTGGCGCCGGCTGCGTGGTCAACTTCGCATAGGCACTGAATGCTCCGGCTCCGATGGCATTTACGGCCTGGACGCGGAACTTGTAGCTGGTCTCGGGCATCAGCCCCGTCACTGTGTAACGAGTGCACGCATCCGGTGTGGCAATCGTCCGCTCTCCATACTCAATGTTGTACGAGCAGATGGGCGAGCCGTGCGCCGCCGGCTGGGTCCAGTTGAGAGTCACCTCTTGGGCTGTGAATTCGTAGCCCTGCATTTGGGGTGCGCCGGGCACGGCGGCCGGGGTGCTCACACACACCACATCCGAGGCGGTGCCAGAGCCGGCGGCATTGCTGGCCAGGATGCGGAAGAAGTAGCGTGTGAAGGGTGCGAGGTTCCTCAGTTCGGCACACGTCAGCGCTCCCTGGTAGCAGTTGTGGAACTCCGTGCTGGGTGGCTCTCTCAGAGGCTCCTGCTCTTGCTCCTCGCTGCGCTTCTCTTGGCTGGCACTCTTCAGGATGTAGTTGGTGACTGGAGCGCCGTTGTCCTGGAGCGGCGCCTGCCAGCTCACGCTCAGATGGGTGGCCGACTTGACCAGCACGCGCAGTTCCTCGGGCACACCTGGTGCGGCAGCTGCTGCTGTGAATTTCATCCACTGGGACCAGTTGCCAGCTCCGATGCGATTGATGGCGCGCACCTGCACCTCGTACATGCCGCCAGGCACCAGATCCTGGGCCACAAAGTACGCCTGCTTGCCTCTGTACACGATGTGGGGTGGCTGCACTTGCTCCAAGCGTCGCATTTGCACCTCAAACTCCAGGATGGGGGCCCCGCCATTGTATTCAGGCTGATGGAGCTTCAGGAGTGCTGCATACGGCGAGGGCGGGTCACTGGAGTACGGTGGAGGTGGGGCCGCCGGGGCCACAGCCTCTGTGGTGACATGTCCGATGTCGGAGTAGGGACTCTGGCCGGCGGGACCCTCGCAGCAGGCACGCAGCTGATATGTGGTCCCGGGCTGCAGGCGCTCGCACATGGCCTCGGACTCGGAGCCGCTGTAGATGCGCTCGAACACAGGCCCCGAGCTCAGTTCCAGATGGTAGCGAAGGATGCTCGCTCCACCAGTGTCGGCGGGCGTGTCCCAGCGCGCCTTAAAGTGGGTGCCATGGATCTTGCCCTTGGCACTAGGCTTGCCCGGCCTGCCCGGACGCTCGGCAGCCGTTCGGTAGCTAACCTCTGGCGACCAGGGCGAGACTCCGGCCTCGTTCTCGGACCGGAGACGGAACTGGTAGCTGCACGCCCGGCGCAGCTGTAGGCACTCGTAGTGGAGATCGGTACCCTTGTAGGTGTTCAGGTAGCCGTGTCCGGACTCAGCATCCTGCAGCTGCAGCAGAAAGTCCCCATCCTGGGTGCGCCGCTCCCAGAACAGCTTCAGCGAACTGGGGCTGCTCGAGTGCAGCTGCGGCGGCTTGGGCGCCGCTGGGGGATTGCCAGCGGTGCTGTAGCTGCTGATGGACGAGTACAGGGACTGGCCCACCTCGTTGACGGCGGCCAGACGGAAGCTGTAGACTGTCGTGGGCTGCAGCTTGCTGATCACATAGTGCTTGGCCTTGATCTTGGCCAGCTCCACGAACTTTAGGGGCTGGCCCTTGCCCTCGTCGTACTCCAGCAGATAGTGCTGAATGGTCGCTCCATTCGCAGGCGGTGCAGCCCAGCGCAGATTGATGGAGCTCTTGGTGCGGGACACCAGCTTAGGGGGCAGAGGCTGGTCCGGCTCACAAGCTGGGGTGCGGAACTCTGTTGGCTCGCTGACAGTGCCCTGCAGCTTCTGGTAGTGCACCTGCAGTCGCACCAGATAGTCCTGCCCCGGCTGCAGATCCTGCACAATGCATTCGTATGCCTCGCCTCGATAGAGACTCTTGTATTTGCACTGTTTGCCCGAGTCGCTGAGCAGAACCTGGTAGCGCAGGTCGCGCATATTGATGAGCAAGGCGTCCGTGATGACGGGCGATTCCCAGATGATTTTCGCTGCTCGCGAGGTCACATCAATCACCTCGGGCTTCTCAATGGCCGAGATTTGCTCCACAATCGTCGACTGGTAGTCCTCCTCATCCTCTCCGGCCAAACTGGAGTTGTCTTCGCCATCCTCGGATGTGCCCACCGAACTGGCGCCACCCACACTGCTGCCCGCTCGCTGGGGCAGTGGCGTGGCTGGTCCTTGAGGAATGGCATTGGGATTGCCGTTCCTCTGCGGCTGCTGCTGCTGCTGCAGCTGTTGCTGTTGTTGCTGCTGTTGCAGTTGCTGCTGGGCGAGGCGACGCACATGATTGTTGTTGTTGTGCAAGTGGCTGCTGCTGTTGTTGTTGTTGTTGCTGTTCATGTGATGGTTGTGATTGTTGAGGTGCGGTGGCAGGGGCAGTACACCCACGGGAATGTTGTTGTTATTGTTGTTGTTGGTGTGATGGCCATTCAGATCGTTGACACCGCGCAGCGAAGGCGAATGTGTGGGCGTGGACAAGGCGGGATCTACAGAAAAGAGAGAACAACTTTTTAGTAATCCCTCCAAGAGAGCTGCTGGGCAGCTGGTTCACTCACTGGACTCCCTTTGCTTCTCCAACTTCCGTAGCAGCTTCGTATGTTGCCGCTGGCTGCGCTCATCCCGATAGTTGGGCGGCGACGGCGAGTGCGGGGAATGTGTGTGGACTGCTGGCGGTGGCTGCTGCTGCTGCTGCTGCTGTGCCGCATTCACAGGCTGCGGCGGTCCACCTCCGCCTCCTACACTGGGCGGTGGCTGCTGCTGTGGCGCACCCTGTGGCGGCGGCATTTGATAGTGTGGTGGTCCATTGCCAGCAGGACCTGGTGGATAGCCGGCCATGGCCGGCGTATAGAAATGCGATGTACCATTGGCGCTTATCTGTGGATAAGGAACATTATGTTTAGTTGGTTAATAACTACATTTAAGTGGTCTAAATACTTTAAACACGACTCTTCTGGTGCTGCTTGTGGTCGATGTTGTCGTTGTGGTAGTTTTCTTTTGCTGCTGCTGCTGCTCCATTTTCCCCATTCCCATCCAAACTAGAACTACCACGTCAACATCTACACGTTGGCTATAAATAACATTCGCGGTCTTACGGAGAACGAGCGCTGATAACAATAACTAATTAATTTGCCAAATGTTATCAGCGCGCCTGTGAGAACTTTCTAGCGGAGTTCACTCGACAATTTCACTGGAAATTGGTTGCTTAAAATCTTTGACAACTGGCACAACTTGTGCTCAACAATCAGTTGAATTTTTGAAATGTAAATAATTGCAAATGCAACAACAACACAGGGATTAAATCTATGTTTTTTCGAAAATTAATTAATTACAGTGGATGGCCCGCAGAAATATACCGCAATATACCTTCCTATATACAAAAAATACCATAAGTATACCAAGAAAAATACCAAACTTAACCCTCTCAACCCCCTGTATTTAAAACGGTGAATAGCTTGAGTAAAACAGCGGAAAATAATATTTGTATACTTGTAAGTTCATCTCTTAGATTGTGTCTATAAGGTATTACTACTTCAAAACATATTTAGCCATATAAGGTGTTGTTCAGACATTTTTAAAGTCACTTGTCTGTCACAGCACCAACGAAATATCGCCAGGCTGAAGAACCCGATTCGTAATTTCAACATTAACCTGAATATAGGCAGTGGTATTAATTTGTAGTTTTTTAACCATTTAATGGGTTGTTTAATTTATGCAGCCCAGTCACTGTAAGCATTAACATTCACTCAAGCAGTGCAATGTGGAGTGCCGCAGCAAGCAGCTTCTAGACAAGGCATTCTACATGGCGCACCCGTTTGAAAGTTAAATTTGAACTGAATTCTAGTGTGATCTGATTTCCACAGCGAATCATTAACCAAATTGGTTTCGCTGTTTATGGGCACCGGCAATTATCCACGCCCGCAGCAAAAATTACCCCAAGATGTCTGATGATTGATAATTTTTGAGCGAAAGACTGGCTGGAAAATGCTACAGCTAATTTCAGGTTTTTTGCATGTCCAAAGTTGGCTTTAAAAAAGTTTTGCAATTTTTTATGATTACTTTAAAGCATTTTGCACCTAATTGTTGGCACTTGACTATCGTTCGGAAAGAGGCCGACACCCAGCACCCAAAAATGGACGATGCTGCATGGTTATTATGGATGATCATAAAATATGAATATCGCCGCCCGCCCAGGCCACCAATATAGGTCAAAGTTAATGAGTTTCTTCTTTTATTATTTTTTTTGGTCCAACAACGGAAACGCCATGACTGAGAGAACAAAAGCAGTCGGAGAGGATTATCACACAACAGAAAAAATGCAAAAACAAAAAAATTGAAAGATGAAAACTCATTCGGCGAGGGAGTTACAGAGCAGCAGAGCAGCAGAGCTGCAGACCTACAGAGTTTCGGTTTCAGTTGAAGCTTCTCTTTGGATATGGTGCGACAGTTACAGTTATCCGAGCGCATAGCTCAAGTTGCATAATGGCAATGCGATTCCGCAGATGGAGAGAGACGCCGACCGTACGACTATGCTATGCAAATTAGCATACAATCAAATTATAAACATTTCAACATAAACACACAAGCGGAAACTGCCATTTTGTGTGGCACTGTGTATGCTCTGTGCTGTGCGAATATCTCTGCGAGTGAGTGTGTGTGTGTGTGTTGTGGCAGCAAATTGTTAATTAAGTCAAGGAAAATTCAGCTCGAGTCAAGCAACCGCGGGGCACTTTCATTTCAGCAACAAACCGTGACGACGCCACATGTGTCCGAAGCTGCACCACCAACCACAACCGGCAGCAAACGGATGAAGTTGTTGGCGCTGCATGCATTAATCAAGTTTTCCACTGTCAAAATGGCATTAGGAGAGCCAGAGACAGAGCTGGAGCCTGGCTGATGCTAAGGCTGGGACTGCTTCGGCTGCGGCCGCTGCTGACTGGCAAGTTATGTAAAAATGTGACAGCAAAAGTTCAACTCAAGTGGAGTTCAATTAAAAGTCATCGAGTGGCGAATGAGGCATGGGTTTCTGGGGGTCCGGGGTCCGGGGTCTGGAGTTTCGCCTAACCTATGGGCTAAAAATGTTGCCAGCCAGCAGCGGGCACGACCGGGCCAGGCCAGCATTTACTCGTAATGGATTGCATTTACTAGATAAAACAACATCAACAACCATTAGCTCGGGTCTACAAATTGTTATGCAAATCGAAAATGTAATGTTTAAAGGTAAACGTTTGCCTTCTCGGCTTGACAGTTGGCGTTTGTTGGCCACCCTGCCACATCAGCAGTCTCACAGTCCCCTCCCTTTGCAGGCTACTGTGACTACATTTTTAATTTATTAACCCCCTAAAAATTAATGCATTTTTTATGCTCTGACTGCCTTTTTAATTGTCTTCTCCCGTAATTTATGTTCTTTGGGGGAAAAACTGTTTGATTTCTCGCTCAAATAATATAAATCAACCCAAAAGTGTCAAGCAATTACGGGAGACGTTGCCTCAGAGCATAACCGGAAAGCGAGTAATCATTGGAAATTATATAATCCACAATGTAATTAATTTCTTTTTTAATTGAGAGATTGATAATACTATAATAAATAACATCAAGCGGGACAAGTGGGTGTTGTTGGGTAACAGAATTTAAATTGCGTTAGGCGCTAAGTCAGAACCGGAATGCCAACCAATTTCTGTATGGGACTTAGTCACGAACTCGTAGCATCAAGAGAGCTATTCCCGCTCTATTCAAGGCGGAATGGGTAGCGGTTTTCCCCAATGCAAATTGAAAATATTTCAATCGAATTTTCGCTAACAACTTTCTGCACATAAAAGAAATGATGAGAATGTTTATGTTGTACAATGAAATTGTTATTATTAAATTATTAGACATAAGTGGCCTCCCGACAGTGGCCTGGCTGACAGGCCAGACTGTGGGGATGACACAGCCAGAGGCAGGAGTGGTCCGAAACGTGATGTGAATGGGTAACGCTCATCTGCTTTGGTTAACAACCATCTATTTTATTTTCATTTTTTTTTTAGCTATTTTGCAAATTAGCGAGGCAATTTGAATGGAATGCATGTGCCGCTGCCGCTGCCTCTGCCTTTGCCTTTGGCCGCTTCTCATGGGAGCCGAACTAGTTCCGAATGGTAATGGAGCAAAAATATAATAATGCTAAATTTAACAACAATTTAAAATGTCAGCAATTTGTAACATTTCAAGAGCACACAAATGTAACTGCAAAGTAATTTTTCTATTATTGAAAACGCTAGACAATTGCTGGGGTATTTATTTAAGAAAAAGCGGAGGAAAGACTTTAATATTTATGAACCTAATTGAAAACTAATCAGAATTCTTTTAGAAATATATTCTATTCTTATTCGTCCCAACTGTGGTTTGATGGAAAGCTTAATTTCTCTGTTAGATGATCAAAAAAATACCAAAAATCCTACCATATAATCTCAACAAATAGCCATAATAAAATATAATTTTTCCTACAAAACTAAAGGTGAAGAAACTATGTCTCATGCGAACTTTGCTTCCAATGAACCCTGGCAGGCAAACAACAAACTGTGTTCATCTGGCAATCAGTTGCCGAGTGCGCCCCCTCTGGTCACGTAGCCCCCCCACAGTAGGTTCGCTGGCAATTAGCATTCAAAGCAAACGTCTTCGTGGCACCTCCCGCTCCCTCCGTCCAGTCAAATGATTGTCAAAGCTCACGCCTAAATGACAGCTTGCGAAACGAAAGGCAGAGCAGAGTCAGAGGTAATTGCATTTTTGCACTCAAATATTTGCCGGAGAGTGACCGGTTGGGTGACTCACCTACGGAGACTGGAATAATGCGAGCAGCTAATTAGTTATGCAATTTTCACGCTTTTCCGCTGTGGTTTTCCCCCGCTCAGGGGCTTCTCTCCGAGTCAGAGTCAGACACAAACACAATGTATGCAGTGGCACACACAAACACAAAACACAAAACACAAAACACAATAAGCAAACAAAGCGAAATTGCAGTTTATAAACTAACTAACCAATAAATAAATAAATTATAGATGCAAAGCGTCGCGTTGGTCGACAGCTTGCCAGCTGTTTTTCCATTTAATGTTTTTTATTACCATTTGCTTTTGTTTAAACTTTATTTTAATAGTTTTGCTTTTTGTTGTAATTGGCATTTGGCTAAAAGTTTAGCCATTTTAGATCGTCAGTCTCAAAGCGGAGGGAGTTGCTTTCCATTGTTCCAAGTGCAGTTCTGCTGGGGCTTAGTTTCGCAATGAATAAACCAGCTGGCATAAACAGTCTCCTCCTTTTGTATCAGCCCCCTGATAGCCAGGCCACCGAGCAATTGAATTGTTTTCTAGGAACAACTTTACCCGGATCCGATCCGGTGCACAATAAATTATATTACCAGACGAGACGACACTCGCGACTCGCACCGCCTCGCCTCGCCTCGCCCCCATGAAAATTTCACTTGAAAATCGAATTAGCATCGGGGAATTATTGTTGCATTCGCTGATTGCAATATTGTTCGCTCAATTAGCAGTAAAATAATTGATAAGCAGCCCTGCCGCTTGCTCTGTGAGAATTGTGGATTTTCGAGGAAGTGGGATTCAATTTGCTATCCAAATGGGAGATCTATATGGTATTTACGAGCGCACAGAGAGTGACAAGAAGGCAATATATTTTGCACATTTTGATGGGCTGGCAAAGAAACAGCATCAATTTTTCCCATTTGAAATATTACAGACCTCGTAAAGTACAAAACGAAGTATTGAAGATTGAAAATCTGAATCAAATCATATTTTGGTGCAAAGTTTCATGTCCATAAGCAATTGCATTTTTGAATAGCTTACTCCAGATTGTTGTGGAACTTTGGTTTCAAGTCATTAAAAATGCATGGCTTGTCTACAGTTTTCAGGTACTTTGGGTACTATGGGAAACGTTCATAAATTATAATAAATTTGAAACTAAGTTTATGAAAATACATTAAAGGTTGTACAAATAAACTACACTTAAGCTTGATAGCTGTTGAATGCTATTGAAAATTTATGAATCTCACTGATTCGTATCGATGAACATTCATTTTAACGGGTGGAAAATGGGGTCACTAGTTTAAGTTCCTTGGAAAAACTATTCCATTCAATTATAAAGAATCCAATTAGAGCTAAAAGCAAAGAGTAACCTTCAAACAAATCCAACCGATGCCCACTTTAGTTCATGTAAAGCCTATCTTTAGAATTCTCTACTCTATTCATGCCTGATCTAGGCGCATCTCTCCCTCACTCCCACAAGTTAATCACACTTAACGGATAACTCTCAGGGATGGAGAAACTACTTACGAATGGCGGTGGATGCAGGTGTCCCTGTCCGGGATGGAGCTGTTGGTATTGCTGCGGGGACAGCATCACGTGGGTCACAGTTCCATTCTCATTGACGTACTGCGGCACCTGGACGGGCACCGTCATCGGTGGCGGCGGTCGACTCTGGGAAACCATTTGAACGGTTGCGGGACCTGCAAAGAGCACAAGACCGATGGGGAAAAATTATTTAAAGAATATCTCAACAAATGGCAATATGCTGATGAAACAGATAAATAGATGTGTTTGCGATGTATGTATGTATAGATATGCATACATATTCATATGTGTGGTATATGTAAAGCTTGAAGGCAAAGCTAAAGCAGTCGACAGTTGGCGCCAGCGAGGCGACATCGAGACAGAGACAACGCCAGGACATGGCCAGGACATGGGATGGGCAGAGGCAGAGGGCAGAGGGACGGGAACAGTCATGGTTGCTTTATGTCAGCGGCTATTTCACTGTGTTTGTTTAATGGATATCTCTCTTTCACTCTGACTCTGAATCTCTGTGAATATATGTACATATACATACACAAATACATATACATGTATATGGAAATATGTGTGTGTTTGCTGCAGCCAACAAAATGCTTGACAGAGTCTGCCAATTTCCCACACCCATGGGGCGCTCTCTTTCTCCCCTCTTGCTCTGACAACGCTCCACTGGCTCACCCTCTCGAACTACTCAACTACGATACGCGTACGCACCGTTGCCCAATTCCGATTTCATTTGCAATTTAAGTCTGCCCGATGATTAATATCCATACCGTACACCCGTTACTCCCAAAAGCCATAGGCTGCCTGCATTGTCACCATCTCTCTCCCTCCCTCTCTGCCCATTTCTCTTTAATAAATGTGTAGAAATCTCTAGAGCAAACATTTTTTGGCAGCTTTTGGCCAAGAGGATGGGAAAAAGAGAGGGCAGGGCAGGGTTGAACAAACGACAAAGGGAGTTGAAGTTTTTGGGGTTCTTGGCACTGCTTCAAAGCCGCCTCAGAGCTTCATCTTGCATTGTCTGGGATCTGTTCTGTGCTGTTCTGTTTCGGTTCTCGGATACTGTTTCTGGTAACTGGTTATGGGTTCTGTATGTTCCATAAGATGTAGCGCAAAAGGAGACATACATAGATGGAGGGGCATTGGGGATGTGCAACTCCCATTTCCATTTCCATTTCCATCTATGGATCCATTTCAGCTGCAACTTTGTCGCATGTCATTGCCACACAGAATAAACGACAGCAAGCCGCCCCATAAGTCGAAACACTCCCCCCCCCCTATTTCCCATCAAACATTTCAGACATATTTTGATTTGTGGATTTGTATTGCTTTTCAATTCCATTTATCTTCCTTCCTTCCTTACATCCGTCCTTCCAGCCGCCTTTTGGCTGCATTGCGACGACTAAAAGCCAACACACACACACACACCGAAAAAAAAGAGTCACTCCCAGAAGAATGAGCAATCATTTGGTGGGCTACCCCAGCGATTTGTTAAACGGAGATGTCTGGACAAGATTAGCATTTAATTTTGGGGAATGAATGATAAGATATTCCGCTTGAATTATGGAAAAGGTCGAAGAAAATGACGTACGCATGGGTGGTAAGCAAAAACTTGACAAGAAACTAATCTAAAGGTACATTTGATTGAAGCTTCAAAAAAAAAAAAAAGAAAGGCCTAGCAATTTAAAGCAAAAACTTCTTAAATTTCAATTTATTCTTTGAAAATATTCATACATTTATACATATTTCCGATGAAAACAAAACGAGAGCAATCCATGAATTATCGTGTTCATCATGAAATGCATTCCGTGTTTGCCCATCAATATGGATGGGGTCAAAATGCGATTTCCCAGCTGCGCTTTGGCGGGGCGCCACCACTTCCAGCTTCCACCATTCAACATCATCACCAAGTACCACCACGACTATCATCATCATCATCACAGATGCAGTTGGCAGCTTTGCACTTTGCATGCCCCGGCACGTAAAAAGAATGTTGCCACGCCTGCCCCCCCACCAACCGCACAACATCCATGCTCTGGCGGCTACTTTCGCATTTCTTTTATTTTATTTTCTGCCATTTTTTCTAGTATTTTATGTGGGTTTTGCTTTTTTGTTTGTTTTGCTTTTGCCTGGGTGTGCCTGTGTTCTGTTTTTGCTTGCTAAACAATGCAGCGTTGCATTTTTTATGGACACCACGCGGCGTATGCGTAAAATCGGCTAATGGAACGTGGGGGCGCCTTCGTTCTCCGGCTCTCGCACTTGCTTTCATAGTTAAACTGTAAACTTAACGGTAATGCGGCCTGGTAATACGCTTAGCCATGTCTCGCGTCCATTCAGGCCGAAAATACGAGCAGCAGACGTAGAAGATTGAGCCACCAGACGGGGGCACTGTCACTCATCCCCACGGCTATTTTGTGGGAGGTGGCGGCTTCTGTCCACTTCCATCCCGACGGCTCTATCCGGGGAACGTGGTCTAATCAACTGTTAAATGCTGTCCGCCATCCAGTCAGCCGTACCGTACTTTGCAATAGGTCTACTCCCTGTCCGTTGTCCGGAGCTCTGCTCTTTATCTGCTCTTAGGTGTAAAAATGTTGGCTTAGTGCGCTGACGCATAACGCGACAAAGCAAAAAACTGATGATGGCTGATAAAAGCAAACACCAGCCCTACTACTGCACTTTCCGAGAGACCAATACCTGATGCAGTTAATCATCCAGCTAAGGGCTGGGGCGCTCCGCATGGAGTTTGCTGCTGTCTGGGTCTGGGTCTGGGTCTGGCCAGGAAATGCACACCGCACCGTTGTGAATTTCCGAGCAGCCAAGCAGCATTTGGCCACGTGTTAAAAGGCAGCAATTAGTTAGGCGAGACTTTCAGCTCCCACTGGGGTAGGAGTGGGTTGGTTCAGCTTATCACTTGGTAAGCAGACAGACAGTTAAATGAAGTACTTCAGCCACTGCCCCATCTATTATCCACCAGCCCATCCCGGGCAAATGTCTGCGACTTCAACTCAAACTTAATTAATGCTAAACTGCTTAAGAAGCAACGGGCTGCGTCTACTAGGGGAAGGTCTACAGGGAGAGCGATGGGTATAGAGGTAGAAGGTTTCGCTGGTACGTTCGGAAAGTGTAAGTAAATCCATTTATCAACTTGGTTGGTTGGCCCTGGTGCAGGATACATTTTGGGGCAGGTTTAAGAGAAAATTTAAGGAGCATATATTCATGGAGTTTTTGCAAGTAAATACATTATTTGGATCTTAGCAATAATAGTGGACCTTTTCTCAATCTCATTCCTCAATCAAATATTATTAAAATATTGCCCTGCAGACTCCAATTTCAACCCTCGCTAGCAACCAGATCATCATCTTCTACTTTAATTTTCTACGCTGATGCGTTGACCTTGCCCTCCCCCCAACACTCCCCACTGCTCCACCGCTTCAACTACAGTGTCGAAAATAAAGTTGCGTCTTCAACGCGTTTTGGCTAATTGCAAATTGTTATTGCTTTCCTGTTTGTTACGCATTGTTGCCTCACTGGCCGCCTATCCTGCCGTCTACCAGCCTACCAACAGCCCTGCTGCCTGCCCTGCTGCCAACCGCCTTGCCTTGTCATTCACTCCTCACTTAGTCATTGTCTGGAAACCGAGTCTGAGGTCAGGGACACCACCTCAGAGAGCTGTTGTCTGGAAGGTTTCGATTGTTCTGACACGCACACCCAAAACACGCACAAAATGTCTATAAAATTAATAACAATTCGGTTAACTTTGAATGCGATGAAGAAAATGTTCTGTTCTGGTTGAAATTGTTGGGGGATTTGTGTGTTCTGTGGCTTCTAAATGAATTGGGTGCCATAAGTGAGTTATTGATGTTGATTTAATCGGATATATGTATGCTAAAATATACCAAAAGCACTTATTCATATCCATATTCACTTTCGTTTTGGAGTTGAATAAACTTTCGATTTGCCATGTGGTTGATTCATGTTTATTTTTTTTAGTGCGGACATTGACAGGCCTGATGATGATTTGTGTGGTGTCCCAATAAATTGTACATCCATATATTTTGATTTGTGAAAGTCAATTCTCCATGGAACCCCACCGCAATACTCATCGCAGTCTCCTTCTCTTTAGATGTACATGCTCGTATTTGCTCGTTAAGTTTCCCTCTTTTGTTCTTGATAATTACCGACCAAATCTAGACCGATTTGCGGTTAGTTGGCTCATTATAATCGACACTTTTCCACACTTATCTCACATTTTCCGCTCATCTCGATTGCGTGTCTCCCTCTATCTCTCTCTCTTTCTGTGTCTCCTTTTCCCTCTCTCTAGCAATTATTCAACTTCAATTAACGATGCGTGAGCAATTATCGCGATAATTATGGCGACTTTTACAGCTTTAAATATAACAACACAAAAAAAACTTTCGCAAAATGCAATTAGAGCAGAAAATTCACGAGTTCTTCAATGGAAAGCTCTCGTTTCTCATTTCTCCTTATCATTTGGTACACCAAATTCCTCAAGTATTAAAGTGTTCTCTTCCTATCTCTCTCTCTCTCCTCGGAGCAAATCGCATTAATTGCGCATACGCCCCGTTAAACGTCGCCCACAAAAATCGACTAAGACTCATTGATTGATGGGCGAGCATAAGGGGAGGTTCCTTGCTGCTGGAGGCTGTACGAGAGGGTATGTTAGGTGGTAGTGGGTGCTGAAGGCTGTCTGAGAGAGGGTGGCAGTGTGTGTGTGTCTGTGTGCTGGAGGCTGTCTGTGTAGGGCGGTAACTGCCTGTGAGATTGGGAATGGGTATTTGACTTTCCCCGGTTACAGGGGCTGAGGTGGCGCCATCGGACGCCATTTGACAGTCTGCACGTGTCGCACGTTTTGTTGATTGTAGGGATTGCCAGGGGATTGGCAGTGGGGCCGAATCGGCTGATGTTTTCGCGCCTGTTCTGTGTTTATTTGAATTTCCAATATTTTGCGCACCCAACAACCGCTCAGTGGCCCTCTCCATTCTCCCAATTCTCCATCTTCCCCTGTAAATATTGCCATTTTGTGTGTCAACGTAAGTGAAGTCCTCATGGGCAACGACACAAATGGGTCCCGACACCCAAAAAGACAAATTAAAGAAGAGCCAGCAATTCGGGAGTCGAAGATTTTAATACTCTTTCAGAT